TTTTTTTTTTTAAAGTATGAGGGAAAGTATATAATTTTTATTGTTATTCATTCAAGAAAATGGTAGTCTTAGATTTAAATTAATGTATTACTTAGTATTATCTAAATTCATTACCAATCACTGACTGCGATGTTATAAAAAATATCCCACGGGAAAACATTTTTCATCCCCTCCCCCCATAAAAAAAAAAAAAAAAGAAGTTCCAGGATCCGTCACTGATTGTGTTTAAATATAAATGTATCGAGAAAGGAACGTGAGATTTTTCCAAAATTCACCAAAGTTGCGCGAAACCGTAAGGTGCTCGTTTTCACGGGCGCAGATTATGATGTACGTTATGCAAATGTTTGCTGTGGATCGGTAACCGCGCGTAATACATGCGTGTACCACACAAAGTCGAATTTAACGTTACTCCGTGGATTACTCGCGTACAAATTAGATTATAAGCTCGTATGCTCGTACGTACGCACGCACGCGGAGAAGCGCTCGTGTGCGTTTACCCGAAACATCCGGAATCTCGTGTGCGAAATTTCGTGTTATTATTACTGTTGTTGTCGTTATTAAAACGCCGCAGCACATTATTCACGAACGTGCTGCTGTGGGCCGGGATTTCACGATTCACGACAACCGTTCGACTGACGTCCGCCCATGTTGTTTAACGTTTGGAAATGTACTCGGATATACATAATTATAAGTAAAGGGATGTATACCCCACCGGTAGACCCGTAAATCAATCCACTACTATACGTACGAGTATGTGATTTTAGGTTCAACATTGATCGCGGTACGACGTGATTGTACAATACCGTCAACAGTAGGAAAAAATAAAATATTACCGTCACGCGCATCGTTGTACAATGGAAATGTGTACGCAGAACGTTACGCAGATGCATTATGGGTACGTTATGGGTTTGATTTGGTTCGCATGATTTAAGAATTCGATATTTTTTTAATATTTTCATTGAATTATCGCAAATATATATATTCATAGACCGACATATACGACGGCCAGGGGACGAATGTTAAAAAATATTGCGTTTCAAAGTACATCGTTAAATATAATCCGTACTGTATCGAATACAATTTATGGAGGTCGTGTGATGCAGAGTGTATTTTAGGCGATTTATGCTTTGGATTTGAAATTTTTGTAAATAGTAAGTAATTTATGTACACTTAGAATCAAAGGCGAAATCGTTACGATGTAGGTTAACGACGACACCGTTCATGGCTAAGTTTAGTCAACACTGTCTTAGTTGAAATCTAACTACACTACATAAAAAAAAAAAATAATTTCTCATCAATAAGCTAAGAAACTTATAGCGTGCTCTTGATATTTTCTCTGCTGCACAGTAATACATCGGAATTATAGATATGTTTTACAGAATCGTTGAAAATTGCGGCCTATTTTATAGTTTAATGTTTTTCAGTATATGAAGACAGAATTACAAAGTTCAAAACTACTACTAGTGATCAATAAGAATGATAATAGTAAAACATGGTTGCTATTTTGCATTTTTAAGTTTTAAGAACATTTTCCAAAAAACTTAATGTTATACATTTGCATCGCTTGGTGACAGAAAATTGGTCAAAAAATAAAAAAAATAAAAAAAAAATATTGTGTCCAGCAAAAAATATATTTAAGTTTTATTTGAGAGTGATATTGAGAGTTAAATATTAGTTTATGTATTAATTTTAATATTTCTTTTTATAATAGAAAGTGGATTGAAGTAAAAATCTGTGTTCGGCATTGCACAGATTGCATGTAGGTAGTGACAATAAAGCTTACCCATTCGCTTGTCTACTGTTGGATTAGGAGAATGAAAATAATTTATCAGCTTGAACAATTACAATAATATATATTTACTTTATAATGGACACTAATACGAGTGGATTGATTGAAGGCTATGCTACATCAACTTTCGATGCGAGATCGAAGTCCATACGTATCACACTACCAAGAGTCTTGAAAGATTAGAGAATAATTTTAGCGATTAAACATTTATGTGATAAAAAAATTGTTGGGAGGGATGAACTTAAATTTTAATTTACGTGGTTATGGTTTATTTTTGTAAAAACATCAAAATGGGACAGAAGGAAAACGAAGATAGTTATAAAGAAAAACTTAGTTCTCTGAAATCCGCTTCTATGGATTAAGCCTGCAAAACAGCACAACATAATTTACAAAAAGAAATTACCTCGAGAAACGTTGCACTCATCGCTCTGTTAATAATGATTCTTTAAATTATACAAGAAACTTTTTCCACCAAAATATATAAATTTACCGAGAAAACTAGTGTAAAAAAAAAAAAGAAAAAAAAATCGCACCATAACATATCCTTAATAGTTACATTTTATGTTGGAAAACAAATTATTATACTGCAATGGCAACTGAACGTTTTTTACATACGATTATAGACAATTAAAAGTATAGTTACTTAATCAGACGTAATGATTACAATAACATCACGGATAACTGTGGATATAATAGCATGCCGTACACGTCGTGTATCAAATATGTATTATGTATAACGTATACAGTATAATAGTGTATACACGATGGTGATACTGAAAATATAATTATATTATTACGTATATGGTTTGCATCCGATAACTATATTTTGTCGCATCAAATTATGCAATAGCATCCCACTACTGTGATATGTGTGTGTGTATTGTGTATAAATGGTTTTCGAATAAAAGCGTTTGCAATAAAAGCAACTCGCAATATAATTCACGATTTGCGAGCACATTTCCAATACATAAATTCAGCAAAACTATAAAACGAATACCAACCACTAAAACCTCGTTTAACACGTTTTCAGGTCCATAAAAACGATTTATTTATTCTATCGTGACCAGTGAATTCGATGCAATCGTGTTGACGTTTGCACCAGTCCTTACCAAAACCGTCAAAATAAGCAGTTATGATTGTTTTAGTTGTAACGAGGACATGAACACTGTTGTTATCAATTACAATATTATAACACGCAACATCATTCATAATCGAATAATAACAATATATTGTACTATTGTTTTGAAAGATTAATGATATTAATGTGCTTGTCGTGGAATTGAGGAAATTCTAAAAACAGTAATAACCAGCGAAAATATTTTTAATTAGTCACTACAACTTAAGGCGCAAAGTTTGAATAATATATTAATACGGCACAATTTAATTTTTCTCAAGACTAAACAGAACGTGTTGAATGAATAATATTATATTGGTATAATACAAACAGGGTGAACCAATAAAGTTGCTATCTTTATTTATTTATTTTTATTTACAATAAGTTTAAACACTAAATAAGAGTCGTCCGTCGTTATAACAATTAGTTATACACGTATACGTTTTTATTTATTTATGTTACATAATTTATTTGCTATAAAAAAGTCAATTACCTTCTATTGATATACTATTATATTCTCTATTATACTATTGTTAATGAAAATTCAGCAACCTTGTATCAAGCAAATAATATTTTTAAAATGTCACAGCATTATTTCCTTTGTAATTTATTTTTAATCATAATTGTTATGTTCCGATAATATCTCATTGTATATTGTAGGAGTTTACTCAATCGTATCAGTTCTACTAAGATTTTATGATATTGTAACATTTTATATCCTTAAACTTTCAGAGTTCTTTTTAAAAAATCAAATAAACCTAAAATCTTTAACTTGTCATCCGAAACTAAATTTAAAAATATGTTTTTTTCAAAATAGTTCAAACTTAAAATTGCACTTTAATTTGTTTGACGAATCCACTATCTCAGCACGATGCCCCATGATTGATATGAATTAAAATATTTCTTCAAATATTTGAACAAAATTGTTGTCTAGTTGATTTTCGTTATAATTATCCAAAAATATCCTAAAATGTTGTATAATATTCTTTATCTTAATCTATTATACACTCGTTGTAAAAATGTTGGAATATTCTTTCTTTCTAAATTAATCATTGGCATCATAAAATGTTTACCTCTTTTATAACGTATTTCTTTTAATGAATCTCAATACTATTCGCGAGCAAATCTTAGTATCTTAGTTTTTATATCAAAATCTATCGTAATAGCTATGGACATAATAATCTCCTTGAAAGGATTTCGAGACTGGGAAATTAGTCGAGCCTAGACTTCTTTCATTTTAGAGTATTTATTCGATTAAATAATTGTTAAATCTATTCAAAATGTATAATGTATTTAGCTAGTTATTACTAATATTTTTATTGTATTTACTATGTACTACCTAGTACGTGAGCTAACGTTGGCGCTTATTTCAATAAATTAATTACTAAATAAACTATGTCATATTATGTTCATTTTCATATGTTCAAATTTTTTACCTTTACTGTGAAAAAGTAAAAATATTATATATAAAAAAAAAAATTTTAACCCTCCTAAAATAAATTTTCATAGTTTTTTATGCATCAATGTATAACTATATGTTATTTGTGTCAACGTAAGTTCTCATGCGAGAACACCTACCGCAGCTCAACGCATGAAGGTAAAAACATGCATTTCTTTTTTAAACTAATACATACGATTTATCCTTTTTCGCTCAATGCCTGATTTGTAGACGTTTATTTTGAAGGAAGAAAATATAAAATGTTCTATATTCTACAACCCTTTCAATTTGAAACGTCGCTGAACGGTATTCAATCGAAATGATGACAAGAAAACCAGAAACGTCACAATATACCATTGCCAATATATTATAATATTTCTTGAGGATTTTTTCTGTCTCCGCGGGCAATTTTCTACGTGTCAATACATTGCAGCTCGTATATAATAAGAGTCTGGAGTAAAAAATAATTTTCTATACAAGGATTGGAATCAAAAATAACCTGTAAGTATATATAAATATATTATAATAAAAGTGTGATGTACAAGTTAAGAAATATACGATATTTTCCTCTGAATTTCCATTTGTTTTCTATTATTATTCCTGTGCCCGTGGTTATGATATCGATCATTGAGGGGGTTGTTGTCGCTGACGTGTTTATTATTTCTGGCAGTCTTGGAATATGCAATTATAACATTTATTTTTATTTTTTTATTTTCCTCCTTCTATCATCAACGAGATCTTTCGGTTAGATTTCACGATCGGTACGAACAACGTGGGACGAGGAGGACACACATTATTAGTGTTTGCCATTGTATTTATTATTATTATGTGCGTCTGTCCGTTCCGCAATAATGGATTGCCAGCCAATGCGATTTCTATGAGACTCCCAATGATGTATTATGCGTTATGTTGTGTGAGCATTAAGGAGCATTTCGAAAAACACGTATTTCTTGTTCGCCGCGCAATGGTTACCTGTAGAAGTGTGCACAAATATTGTTGTTCCCAGCGCTAGGTATTCTGGTGTTGGGTTTCAGATTGAAAAAATAATAATAATCCGGTTGACCGACCACCGTTTTCACTTATAGATCAGAAAATGCGGTCTCCGCTAATGTTATTTGTCTATTTGACTAATTTCTGAAATCCGAATACGACTATCCGCGCGATACGCAAATACACGCAATATATTATTACACAGAGCACATGCTATTGTCATCATAAAAATATCTGATGACATATTTTTTTGGTTCTAAGACAATACGCGTTGCTATATTATTATACCTACCAATGTATACACCATCGCATGTAGTGGACTAGATAAATAAAAATTATGCTGAACGAAAACCCGACGAAAAAAAAAAATAAAAATAAAATAATCCCGAGCAATATTTTCATAGATTTTTATTTTATCCGTGCTGTTCATTTCAGATTAAAAAAATATTCTTAAATTATTATTGTGCAGTGTATTTGATGTGATTTAATATTTATTTAATTTCCAACAAGAACAATATTATCATACGTCTATATTTATAAAAATATACCAGTATATTATATGCGTAAATAACAGAAACTTTTTTGTCGTTTACTAGTGTTGTTTGAAGCGATAAATACGAACAATGTATATTGTCAGGTGACGTTGTAAGATGGGCTTGGAAACTTTTATAACTTTAATTTAATATTGATTTAATAAATAATTAGTATTATGTATCTATTTATTTTTTTTCATTGCATTTCATCGTATATTTATTAATCAATTCTTCGCTTGTGTTAGAATATACAATATTGTATCGCCTTAGACAATATTAGCTGGCAAAACTAATACTTACTAAGCTAATGTATACACATCGTAAAAGTCTCCAGTGGCGTCCCTAGACCCTTTTATAGGGGAAGGCAAACTTCATACATGTATTCGCGTTTGTATGTACGCCCTTGGAAACTTTCCTGTAAGAAGGATCATATTGTTGAACCCCGTGAAAGTTAAGTGAACATAAAAATGTATGGTTAAATACAATGGTAAGCTTGTAATTAGTAATTATGAAACGAAAAACTAAAATACACCTACTCTTTTAAAAAGGTTCTTAGTCATACCTCATACAGTACACACCTCCATGTTTGGTTTTATTGTTTAAAGATTTTTTGGTGACTGAAATTGTTTTCTCCCTAATTTTGATTACACACTAAAATTACGTTTACACAGTAAACTCCTGCTAGTAATTACGATTAAGATTTTCGCATTATGACGCAAGTCAGTGGGTTGCTACGAGTTGTGTACGTTGTTGACAGATTCTTGACAAAAGCAAATATTTCAATTTATCGACGTCAGCGGCAGCGTAAAGATATTTTACTTAAGCCAATGGGAGGTCAACAATTAGAAGGTCGGGCTTTACAAAAATGAGATTGCATTTATTAACGTTAATTTAAAATAGTATAATATAAAACACAAATTTAGGTTGTGAGTAATGTTATCATACCAAATAAATATAACATTACATAGCCAAATATCTTTATTATTCGTAATTCCGTATTTTTATGAGCAATAGAAAAAAATCGTTTGCAAATAAAAGGGACCATATTATTATGTTTAACGTCGGATCAATGTCCAGTGGTAGGGCCGGTTACGAGACTAGGCATTTTCAGGTTACACGGATGACCCTTTTGGCACCACTACTGATCAACGTTTTGCGTATACTTCGACAATAAGTTCTGTATATTCAGTACATTTGTCCGTCATGTGTACATCAGTTATACATGTGTATCTTTTATCAAGTTCGATGTTTATACTTTTTACATTTATGAAACAACGAGAAATATTTATTAAAAATGTATATTGTAAACACGAGTGCCCGAAGAAACCGGTGAAATTAATTACTGCAATGTGTGGTACGGCCACAACACTACAGCAGTTTTGTATATAAATTATACATAACATCATATATATTTTGTA